CCACAGGCTCCTCAAGTGGATCGAAGACGGGATCCCCAAGGACCCCTTCCTGAACCCCGACCTGATGAAGAACAACCCGTGGGTAGAGAAGGGGAAGTGCTCTATCCTGTGAGGCCGGGCCGGCCTGGGGGACGGGGACGGGGACAGGGACAGGGAACGAGTAACGAGGCTGCAGACGTGAGCGCGTTCGTTATAAAGCTTCTCGAGGTCTCCTGTTCTTGTACACTCTCTACGGGGCAGGCGGTGCCAGGCAGGCCCGGGCTACAGCAGGTCCCTGATGTACAGGCTGCGCCGCACGGCGTTGGAGACACCCTCGTGGAAGCGGAACCAGACCTGGCTCCTGCCCACGGCGGTGCCCATGTGCCACTCGGCTGTGTCCTTCTCCAGGGCTGCGTCCTCTGCAGGGCCACAGGGATACGTCCAAAGAAGTCCCTCTCGGGCTGATGGGGGAAGGGGCCAGTCAGGTCCTCTGAGATACCCGCCCTCCAACCCCTGCAAGTGCTGTGACAGAGGGAGGGGCCTTCCCAGGAGAAACAAGTGTCCCTCCCATCCTCACCAGCCCTCACCACCGCCCATCCTGGGTCAGAACAGAAAGAGCCAGCAGGCACCCTCCTGCACAGGTGGGAACCCGGCTGGACCCTCAGGTTTAGAACCAGTTTCAGCAGCTCACCTAGGCTCAGCCCTCACTGTCCTGGGGGCCCCGCCCACCGCTGCTAAGCCCCTCCCCACATGGCCTCCGGGCCCCACCCACCATGGCTCAGCCCTCCCCACGTGTCCCATGGGCCCCACCCACTGTGGCTAAGCCCCTCCCAGCACCTGCTCCGTCACGGGGGCCCTCCTTATAATGTTCTCCAGCCTCTGCTCATGGTTGCGAGGGGCAGGTCGTGGCATTCGCATCTCCACGCTGCCCCGTGCGGAACCACAGTCCACCTTCGGGGGGGAAGAGATGCAGTGAGGGCTGGCTGGTGTGGACCCACTCCCCAGACGCCACCAGGACCCAGAGCTGGGTCAGGCTCACCTGTGGGCAAAGCCCCACCCCAGCCAGAGCCGCTGCCCCAGCCCCTGCCCGAGCGTCTGCCCGCCGCATCTTCTCCACCTCCACCTCGTGGGCAATGAGCTGCTTAGCCTGGTAGGTGAGGGGCTTGTGGGCAGGCAGCTCCGGGAAGCGGCACACCTCCTCCACGTTCCTGCTCAGAGTAGGGGTGAGACACCCGGGGCGGTCAGTGGGCACCAGGCCCAGAGGCCCCGCAGGCCACACGCAGCTGTGGGTGTCCTCCCAAGCCTCTGTGTCCACAGTGGGAAGCCCACCCGGGGCTGGCCAAGACAGTGACAGGGCTAGGCTCAGTGTCCTGCCACAGCCCCACAAGCATCTCAGGGTAGGGCACCAAGGCCTGTAGAGCTCGTTATTCAGGGGCCCTGGCTCCAGGGCACAGGCTGGGGAGACCTGGGTAAACACAGGCCCCGGGCTGCGCTTGGCACCCCCAGTTGTCTCAGCGAGGGCTGGCCTAGAACTGCCCATCCTGAATAGCCCGTACAGGTCTGCACTCCTAGCTTCACGCGCACCCAGGTTGCCCCAGCCCAGGCACCGGCACTCACGGGTCCAGCGCATAGACATACTGCCCATCGGGCGTGCGCTCCTGGCGGTAAGTGAGGTTGTAGGCAAGCATGGTGCCCACGAGGCCGGCCAGCTGCTGCTTCTCGCGGGCACTGTACAGCTGTGTGCTCACCTGGGGGCAGCGGGCAGGGTCTGAGTGGAGCTGGGGCTGCCCCATGGGAACACCCCCTGCACCCAATGGGAACTCACAGGGCGGAGCCTGGGTGTAAGGATGTCCAGGAGCAGACAGAGGGTGTCCAGGACCAGGGCCTGGGGTGCCACCCTGCTGCGGATGGCTGGTGCAATTCCCAACACCAAGGTCTGGATCAGGTTCCAGGTCTGGCTGGTCCGGCTCTGGGCCTGAGTCGGAGCAGAGCGGGCCGGGTCACCCTTCCCTTCCCAGCCCACCTCGGGCCTGGGGCGGCGGGCGGGCGGGCCCACCTCCTGCTGGCTGCTGGGGAAGGCGATGCGTGGCACGTGGCTGGTGGCGAAGAGCATGTGGAA